TCTTAGCAGGTTATAGGTAAGGGTTTGCTGAATTTAGTCATAAAAATATCATTTTTACTTTTGTACAAAAGTAAAATATACATTTAATCCCAATTACATTGTAGAAATGTCACTGAAACAATAACATGGATCAAAGACTGATGCACCTAAAGGAACTGAATGCAACGTCTTCATTTTATTATAGAAACTAGAAATGGAAGATGATTTTTGTTTTATAACTTGTAGTGGCATTTGCTAGAGCACGTGAACAGGTGAAATATACAGAATTACATAGATATTAACAGATACTTTGACACAAATTTCAATTAAGACCTCAGTTTCATTTCATTTCCTTTGAAAATATCAAAGCTATGCCTTGACAACATAAATTGTTGACCTCACTGGTGGCAAGTTCACTTCTACTGAGTGAAATGGTAGAACACCCTGAAGTTTCATTTTGCAGATACAAATACTGACACCTTTAAGAATACTTGATAAGCATTTCAGGAAAAAAATCAGTTCTCTACACCTGATTAAGTAAAGCCAGAACAACAGAAGAAGAAACTCAGCCTGAAATAAGTTCAACCAAAATTGAAATGCAGGTCCCTGGTTAAAGCATCTCAGAAACTGAGCCTGTTTCAGACTTGCCATAGGCAGGTCTGGAACAAACTTGCCATGTTGTGCAATTGCAAGGACAGCTTAGCAATTCCATCCAGCTCTGTGGCTATGGAGGGTAAATCACACTTTAGAGCTCATTCTGCATTCCCGCGAATGAAATTAGTCTGATGAACAGTGGCATCAGGCTGCTGGAAGCCTACAGAATCAGACCATTCCTGGAAAAACTGCAGTACTTCCATTTTCTTCATGTTAGGGGAATTTAATTAATGCAGAATGGCGCCTCTCTAAAAAACAGTTATCCAGCTAATACTGGAGAGGAATATATTCTCTCTGTATGTTACATGTGTACGCAGAAAATCTTATTCTAATACACAACTTTCTGCCCTTTCCTAATAAATTTCAGATGTTCTTGTCCTAGTGTTTATTTTGGTTAATATGTGTGTAAATGAGAAACCACACTGTCCAAGTGAGAACTATGGAAAAGTGAAACTTGCCCTCAGTTCCTTCAAAAATACTTTAAAATAAGTAAGCTTTTATGTTACACATGGGTTTCAGCTCTCTCAGAAACAAACTTTCTGCACTTCTGCTTAATGAAAACAGTTGTCCCTTAGTAAAAAAATTGTCAACAAAAGTTGCCACTGCTCCAATTATTGATTTGGACCAATGTAGCCTCTAAAGAATGATGCGTAGCTGATTTGCTAAGAAGGCTCTGATGCCTGAAATCTCAACTTGGGCAAAATGGCTGCTGAAAACAAGAGTATTTTGCTGAATTTTGTCCTGTCTCTAGTGCTTTCTACTGTCTTTCAAGTGCTTGTCCACATAACCAACAGTACACCAGGTTAAGCTCGTGCACAGTTAGAGACTTTGTAAGTGGAAATTAATTTCTTTGGGCCATGATTATTGTCAGCTTCCCAGCAGGCAGCATGATTGATTTTCCTCACACCTACAAATGTGTAAACCATGAACAAAGGAAGGAAATCACTAGAATTGTTACCATGTTAGTCTTCAGTAAGCCAGGCTGTGAATCTCCAGCACTCACATATACTAAGAGTTTAGAGGCACATGGCCAAGCTCTGCCCAGCCACCCCCTGTGAAGTAGGGTCAGTTCCATTACATTTAATGATTACTAAAGGCTTATCTGTCTGAATGAACTTGTGAGGCAGATGAGGTAAACTGCATTAAGCCCCATTGTGTTGAGAATTAAAGCAGCCTTAATTTAATTCATCTTACTTTCCTTCCAAAAAGAATGACTCCGAATCAGATTAAGGTTGCTTTTATTCTGCAACAGAATGTCCATGCTGGGCTTTAAAACAGTTTAACAAATCTACTTTAAATGCACATCTTTCATTAATTTACATTAGTTTTCCTGAAGTCTCCAGTGGAGATAAGGCTTAAGAGACTCCACGCATGAGAATCTGCATGGGTTTGATAGGATGCTCTGAACTCACACCCTGGCTTACTGCATGCTATCTTCCCTGTGAAGACAAGTAAATGCAGTTTGTTGTCTCTCCTGAAGCTGCTGCACAGAGAACTTGAGCTCTTGGCAGTTTGGCAGCAACCTCATAGTTCAGTGATGCAAGAGGCTACAGAGTCTTTTATTTCCACTCTCCCCCTTTCTCCTCTGCCAGTTCCCTAGTGCTCTGTAGCTAAGTATGGTAGGGCCAGATGGGGAATTCTGGAAGTAATACCAGCCTATGGGATTCCCACCCATTGCCCCTCCATTTTATTCCTGCCTCTGCACTGCAGTGCACTGCTGCCTTGCTCATGCCAGGTAAGTTCCCTCATCCCCTTCACTGTGTGGATGAGGAAAAAGCTGTATTGGGGCAACTAAAAGTAGAAGAGGCATAGAGCAGTGGCTGGTAAAGTAGGCTTAGGTAGTGACTCCTTATGCTGGAAAAGCTGCCTTACCTCACCAAACTACAGCTCAACTAAGACTGTCATATCCACTGGTTTCTCTGGCCAGCATAACAAGGAAGGGCATTGCTTCCGGGAGGTCCATACCAAATGAACGAAAGTCTCTTGACTCTTTCAGAGATGCACTAAATTGGCCAACAGCTCATTTCCAGTCCTTGTCCACTGACATAAACAACCCCATAGAGCTCATGTGTGGCAAAACAAAACATATGCCAAAATGGGGTGGAAAAAAAGGAAGAAAAAAAAAAAAAAAAGAAAAAAGGAAGAAAGAAGAAAAAAGAAAAGGATGCTAACTGGTAAGAACAGATAGTTAAGTGCACCTTCAGGCCTGCAAAGACACTTCAGCACTCCTGCATAAAGGGAGTAAGAGCTTTTGTTGCTATCTTCTTGCGTCAAACTTGTCGAAAAGACATGCTTATGCTACATGAGATTAATTCCTGAACTCCGTATGTACTGAGATCCTTTGCAGTGAGCTATAAATGGACAAAGCAACGTTCAGGCTCCCCAAACCACCCCAAGTCCTAATGATCCATCCTGGTTTCCTGACAAAGAAGAATCGCTGCATGCAGTACTTTTCTCTTTACAGATGCAGAATGACTATCATTCTGTTCATTAAGCTAAGATGTCCACGCCCAACTGTGGCAGAAGTTGTCACCAAAATGAGGCCTTGTCTCTCAGATGCTAATTTCTGATCATTAGTCCCACAGCACTGAATAGATTATTGCTGTTTAGTTTAGTCAGTTGGTTGCTTTATAAGCTGAGTGCAGCATTCAAGTCTGTTTTGACATGAGAAGTCATATCCTAGAACTCAAGTTTGGGAGCATCAGGACCACCAGAATTTAACAGGGAGATGTGTACAATGGGCAGGGGTGTGAGCAGGGGACAGGAAGGAAGCTTTACAACACCTACCTGGAGAATGTAATGCCCTGTTTTATTTGATGCTTTGCATTTCTGGCAGGAGTTAAAAGCCCCCTCAGTTCTTGATTGCTTGCTCATCGTTAAGATTCACAGAAGCTACACTGAGAAATAAAGTCAAGTCTTTCTGGAAACCCGGCAGGTCAAGCTTGTGCGTTACTGCAGAGTTAGGGTTGTTTTTTAACTCTAAGTGCTTTGATTTTATATATGTGTGTGTCTGCACATGCGTGTGACACACATGTATAACCACATGTATATATTTATTTATACACATATATACACATATGAGAAAGATAGATAGGGAAGAAATGATCTGTACAATGTGGAAGGAGAAGTGTTCAACAGTAGTTGGCCACATGCTAAGTGCAGAATGAAGATCCTCAACTTTTTCCATTTAAAAAATACAGATTAGTGCCTACATTAGTTCAGATCAAAGGTTATCATCTTCCAGAGCCTAGCAGTCAAGGATGGCATATTGCAGAAGATACTTTCTCCTAGCGTGGATTCCTTCACCAGATGATGGTGGAAGTAAAATAAGTTTAGGGACCAGAAAGAAGAATATGGTTTAAAGGAGCTGTGATGGGATTTAAGATCTGATGGACTGACAAAAGGGGATAGAGGAGGCAGGTATGGCGGGGCACTGGAAAGCCTCTCCCACCTACCTGCTGGGAAATCCAAGGGAAAGAAAAGCACAGCCCTGCAGTCTGGTTGCCTGAGGGTGATGCTGCAGCTCATGCTGACCCCTAGTTCTTCCTGCATCCTGCAGCCTGTCCCCAGCTGGGACAGGCTGCCAGAAAGCCATCTCAGGGAAAGGAAGGGCAGATACAATGATGGCAGCAATGTCTCTATAAACAACCTTGGGAGACTCGAAGTCTTGCATAAACACAACTATGAGTTATTTGGCAGAAGCAAATGATGAGCCCTGCAGTATCAGACTGGCTGGGGAAGGAAGGTATCCTATGGGCGCTGATGGTCTCTGCCCCCTTCTTCTTCATCCCTCTCACTCACACTTGCTTTTTCTTTCTCTATCCTGTTCTGTGCAGTGCCAGGAGGCAGCAGAGAACACTCCTGTACTTGTGCTGGTGCCTTTTAACCCTTTCCTTTGCTATCTCTGACCAGCTCAGTTCCTGGAGGCACTTTCAGCAATTCAGGGGATGTAAGATAAAGGCACTGCGCAACTACTTATATCAATCTGTTGAGTCTCTTCGGTGAGTTTTAGGGGAATACAAAATAGTCTCAATTAATGACTGCAAAAGAAACCGGCTGCTGCAATTTGGATGCATATAATAAATAAGTTTCATTTACATTCTGAGAATGCACCAAAAAGCATGCATCTGCACCTTTCAGCTATAAAGGATACTAGGTTTTAGGTGTTGCTATAGATAACTTGACTTAATTTTACATATAGCTTTCCCTTTAAGGGATGGGATATCTTCCTTTCCGACAACGCCTGGACAAAAGCCAACACGTTTCCCTGAGCAATGCAGGAAAACAATCAAGTTTCTCTAATCAGTTCATTTAGGCCTTCAGTCTATCAAGCACTTTTTTTTGTTGTTTTTTATTGTTATTATTAGTTATTGTTATTATTATTATTGAACTCATGCATTAATTAATTCAAGTTACACCTTAATCAAATAGGCCATAATACTGAATATTTGAACATGCTTTGATCTCCAAAAGTTATTGTTCCCATTTGACTAACATATGCACTTAAATACAGTACTTTAAATTACTAGTCAACGATTTAATAAATTAAGGAGTGCACTTCTGGTGAATGCAAATCAAAAAGAAAAGGAAAACAAGGAAAAAAATGAAAGAAAAAAGAGAGATAAAGGACCTATTTTTAGGAGATTCAGTTCAAACGAAAGCTTATCCGCTATTGTCTGAGGTAACGTTTCAAGCATGCTATTATAAAATAAATAGTATCAAATTCAAACATGCTTTTATTAAACTCCATTGTGCTATCTTGCAACAGAGGGGCTTAAAGTTTTGTATCCAGTTCTGGACAGGGAAAAGGAAAAGTATGTTTAAATCATCTGCATGTAAGAGAACTTAGCAGCATTGCAGATGTTTTGTCTTCAGTTTTGTTTGTTATTTTCCTTTTAGAATAGTTCTTCTATGGAGAGCAAAAGAGACCAGGCTTAAGTACGTTTGTAATAAGGTAGACTGGAAGTATGTAATCATTCACACAGGGGGCAGAAGGAAGATTTGCACTCCTTCATAAAAACCATGGCAAATGATTGATGCAGGTTTTTGCTAATCTTTTTTTCGTTATCTGATGCACTTTCTTGCAACTGTGCAGTTTTGCAGAATATTTTCACTGGAATCCATGCATATGCTTTATAGCTCTAAAAACTGTCTTGCTTAGTTTAAGTTAACTGTATCAAACAAAAAAATAAAAGGAGGTGGGAGAGGAAAAGTTTAGGTCTAGCATCATACAGCTTAAAACTAAACTAGTTCAAATGGTTACCATTTACCAGGTGGAAAATGTTTTTTAAAAATAAACAAAATCTTATCTTTCATGGATCCTGGAAGCTTCTTTATCGCTGAGCAAATATTCGCAATGCAACAATGCATTTACGAGGTAAATAAAGCATTCAAAGACTATCAGTAAAGCATCTACAAAGTGTGACTGTGTCACTAAAGTCTTCAAGCTGTGAATGGGGATTTGGTTGGGTTTTTTTTGTTTACACATCAGTCAGCAGCTTGCTTTTATTAACGCAGTTTTGGTTGGCTACAGTGCAGTTGCCAGTTCTGAGATTAGCCTCTCTAAAATTGTCTATGCTATTATTCATATCCTCTTCGATTTCCATGTACTCAGATTTGCTGATTGTGGAAGAGCTGCGGCGACTGAGATCACTGTCAGATGCTAAATTAGGGGAGCTAACGTGAAGTAACTGAGCCTGTTCTTCCCCTTCTGTTTCTCGGTGGTAGAAGTAGTTGAAGTTGGACACGATGACAGGTACGGGCAGGGCAATTGTCAGCACACCAGCGATGGCACACAAGGAGCCTACGATTTTGCCTCCAATTGTCACAGGGTACATGTCACCATAGCCCACAGTGGTCATGGATACCACCGCCCACCAGAAAGCATCAGGGATGCTGGAGAAATGAGACTCAGGTTCTTCAGCCTCAGCAAAATATACCGCACTAGAGAACAAAATCACCCCAATGAAGAGGAAGAAGATCAGCAAACCTAGCTCTCTCATACTTGCTTTGAGGGTTTGTCCCAAAATCTGGAGACCCTTAGAGTGTCGGGAGAGTTTGAGGATTCGAAAGACTCTTACCAGTCTGATGACTCTCAGGATGGCCAAGGAGGTGGCCTGCTCTCCTTTCTGAGTCCCCTCCTGCTCAGCCATCTCGGTGCCCAGGGTGATGAAGTAAGGGATAATGGCCACAATGTCAATGAAGTTCATGATATTCTTGAAGAATTCAGTTTTGCTGGGGCAAGCAAAGAAGCGCACTACCAGCTCAAAGGAGAACCAGATGATGCACAGGGTCTCCACAACAAAGAAGGGATCTGTGAAGATGTTGGATTTGTAGACCTGGGTGGTGTTGTCAGTGCGATGCACTGTGTATTCCTTGTCTTCTTTTAGCTCAGGTAATGTCTCTAGGCAGAAGATCACGATGGAGATGAGGATCACCATGACAGAGACTATTGCAATGACCCTTGCCGGCCCAGAACTCTCTGGGTATTCAAAGAGGAGCCATACTTGACGCTGGTACTCCCCCTCCGGCAAGGGTCTCTCCTCGTCTTTGATGAATCCTTCATCTTCCCTGAATTTCTCCATGGCCTCCTCACCCAACTCATAAAATTTGATCTCCTCAGAGAACATGTCCAAGGGCACATTGACCGGCCGGCGGAGCCGCCCCCCAGATTGGTAGTAGTAGAGGATGGCATCAAAGCTGGGCCGATTCCGGTCAAAGAAGTACTCATTGCGCAAGGGGTCAAAGTACCGCATGCGCTTCTTGGGGTTGCCCAGCAAAGTGTTGGGGAACTGGGCTAAAGTCTTCAGCTGCGTCTCAAAGCGTAGTCCAGCAATGTTTATCACTACGCGCTCACAACACTCATGGTCATCGTGGGCAGCGGGCTGGTAGCTATCCTGGGGGTGGCCAGGTAGCGCAGAAGTCTCATCCATGTTCTCTCCAGCCATCACGGTCATGGTGGCACACAGGAAAGGGGACCCAGGGGCAGGGGAGGAGAAGGGAGGGAATCGGGACTAGAGAGTGGGGAGGAGGATGGAGGAGAGCAGAGAGCCTCCCAGGACAGTTCAGGGGAGGAGCTGGGGGGAGGCTCAGAGTCTGCAGCAAGGGATGATGAGTCGGGATGGAGAGCTTGAGGAAGGGATGGATGAGAAGCCTAAAAGATGGAAAAAGCCAAAAGGGGAAAGGAGAGGTGGGACGAAGGGAGAGGCATCAGGGATGATGGGAGGGTGAAGAAAGAGGGAAGAAGTACCTTTAGGGGGGGAAGAGGGCAGGTAAGGTGAGGGGTCCTGTACCCCAAAGCCGGGAGGCTGAAGGTCTATGGAGTGCACCCCCAGGCTGAGGTCCCCTCCCCAGCCGTCTCCTTTTGCCTTTAACTCGATCCGTCCACTTTTCTTGCTGACTGGACCATCTCTGCAGCTGCTGTCACGAAGTTACCACACACACACACACACACACACATACACACAAATAAATAAATAAATAAATAAATAAATAAATCACGGGGCTGCTGGGAGGTGAGTCCTTGCAATGCCAACTCAGCAAATTTCCATCGCCTGCCCCCCCACACTGCCCCGGTCCTCTCCTCTTATGTGCTGGAAAGGGAGTGATGGAGATACCCTGCTTTTGAAGGCATAAATCTCACTTGCAGGATGGAGGCTGACAGGGAGGAGAGAAACATAATAAACCAGCCCCCAAACCCCACCACACACACACTCTCAGGCGCAACGGATTGGCTTTCACACCAGAAAGAGCATCCCGCTCTGCCCACTACGGCAGCACATGCGGAACCCCTACGCGTTCCCACGCACCCCCAGACATGCACCGTGGCCTCCAAGGCAGGAAGGGGCCGATGTGGAACCTGCGGTGCCCTAAGCACATCAGGAGGGCTTCTTAGGCAACTTCAGTGGGGTCGACTCCTGCGATAAGTCTCCTGACCGCCACACTCCCCACTTCACAGACAGTGGAGACTCAGCTGAGCACTGACAACTTCATCACACCAATCGGGGGAATAAGGGGAGGGGGAGCAAACCATCTCCTCTCTTGCTTTACAGCAGCTAAACACAAGTGAGAGAGAGACGAGGGGAGGGAGATCTACAAGCCAGACCCAAACTGTTCAAAATAGAGTCCAGCCACGAGGAGGGGAGAAGGGGATTTCCTTACCTGTTCCTAGTGCGATGCGTTGGTTAGGGGTAGGAGCCAGTGCCGGAATGCGTCAAGTCGCCTTGCAGCAGCATCCAAAAAAACCAAACCAAAACACAACCCGCAGCGGCAAACTCAACCCTCCTCCTCTTCTTGTGCCCCTCTTAATAATACAGCGATCGCTTTACAGGGCTGCCTGCGAGACACTGAAATATTCATACACTGTCTTAGGCTGCACCAAGGGCGAGTGGGTTTAATTAGTTTTCTGCCGAGAACCGCAGTGGGGGGTGGGGGAGTTGGTTTAAAAGAGTGCAAAGTACCTTTGTCAAAAGGCTTGAGTTAGTAAATAAAATCAAGGAGTCCTAGATAGCAGCTGGCTCTCCTGCTCTCTTCCCCTAAGGTAGCTGGAAGAGGAGCCGGGCACTGGGCAGCGGCCGCTGGAGAGATGTGAGAGATCCGCAGTCCTGCAGCCGCATCCCCGGAGTCAGTCTTGGCTCGTCCCGGCAGCAGCAGCAGCAGCAGGAGGCAGAAGCTGGACGCGTGTGGCAGGAGCGAGAGGGCTGCTGAATGCATGAGAGCAAGGAGCAAACTCGAGCCATTTCTTGACGCTGCAGTATCAGCAGAAACCTGAGAGCTGTTTGGTGCAGCTCGGGGAGCGGAGGGCGGGGGGACGGGTTTGGGGATGGGGGGGAACGCACGGGATAAGCGGGAGGAGCGGAGGCAGGCACGCTGCACCCCCTGGGGCGCCCGACAGCGCGGCCCCGCCGCCGCGGCGCGCTGCGCGCCGCGCCCCCGACGCAATGCAGGCTCCGGACCCGGACCGCAGTGGGACCCCGGGGCAAGGGGCGGCGGGCGGCGGGGGTTGTGCACAAGAGGACCCGTTCGCCGGCTCGCAGCCCGCAGGCACCTGCAAAGGAGGCGGCTGGTGTGGTGTAGGGCTTCACACATCCCACACGGAGGGAGGCGGCGGCGCCTGCGGTGTCCCGGAGCGCCCGTGGTGCGGGGCTGGCACGGCTCCGATCGGCCCCGGGTCCCGGTCCCGGCCCCCCGCCCCGCCGTACGCTCAGTAGCAGGTGAGGCTGTGCAGCCAGAGCCTTCTAGGCATAGTGGTGGAGGCTGGGTCCCGAGCAGTGTGGCTGAAACTGGGAGGGAAGAGTTAATCGGCAGGCAGCGTGTTACAAGGAAATTGCCCTTTCATGCTGCTTTATCCCGCTGAATTCATTTAGTTGATGAATCACATAACTTCGAGATGGAGAAGACCCATTATGTCATCAGCTTCCCTCCCCTGCCAGTGCAGGATTGTTCCCTACAGTATAGGATCATGTACATTATATAAAAGCCTTCTGCTCACTTTGTCAAAGCAGGCAAGGTGATCAAAATACAGCCGGGGCCTGTGTAATTTGAAGCACTCCAGGGCTAAGTAACACCAAATCCATGTTTAACAGACCTGGTCTCATTAGCTTTCCGCTGCATAATACATTATTGTCACTTAAGATCACCACCTTGGCAGTCCAAAAATACTTAATCACCTGACCTCACGGACAGTTTCTGTCTTTTCTTCCCTTCCTGTTATTTATCCCCATGTGTTCTTAGCTTGGAGTGGTTTTTTTTGCTAGAGTACAAACCATTCTAAAATCCACTAGCCCTAGCTGTGCTGTAATCAGAGCTGCTTTGCATGCTGCATTCACCAGTCCTGGTGGAAACAAAACTAAGGAAAAAGAAACAGATTTCCTGTCTAGCCTGGTATGGGTTTGTTGTTTTTTTTTCCTTTCTTTCTTCTCAGTGAGTGTCACATATGCTGAGAGTTTTGTGAGAAACTTCTGGTGAACTTCTGAGCAAGGAAATGTCTCTTTATGCCACTCCTGCGCAAAATAATCAAAACACCAAATAAAAGGAGAGATTATTCTCCTAGTGAAAATCACAACCATTCATTTTCTTTCTGACAGTTTAGCAGCTCAGCATCAGCACCCTGACTTAGACCCAGCAGCCCTAGACACTGCAAACTAAAGCTCCTCCAAAGAGAAAGGCAGTTCCATTTCCTAAACTAACCAGGCGGCTTTTCAACCCTCCAAGAAACTCAGCTACAGCCTTTAACTCAACATCCTCTTATGGCAGTGAATTCCATGCCTGGATGACATGCTGCATAGAGCTGACTGCAAAGTATTCAGAGAGCTCTGCGTTCAGTGTGTTTGGAACTGCTTTGCAGAAATAGCTCTGTGAGCTACTCACCCGCCTCTGGTGCAGTGTTATATCCCCCTGTATGAGTTCAAAGACAAATACGGATGCTCAGGAGTGTGATGAAAATGCAGATCTGACAATCAGAAGCCTGAGCTCAAGGTGCTGTTCTGCCCTTGTCTTCCTGCATGATTGCAGGCAAGTCTATACATTATATCTGGAAAATAGGAATAAAAGTGCTTCTCTTGCCTGTCACAGCTGCTTAGGCTGTTTGATCCTGAGAGCTGTCTTTGTAGAGCAGAACCCAAATCCTTATTGGAAGCTCTGGGTACACCAGCAACAGAAAAAACATGTAAAAAAATAGCACCTTTTGCTTTGACATTACAAGGTAGTAAAAAGGCAAACTGGGATATTGGTACCCCCTGCCTCATTTTTAATAGCTTTGAAGTCTGATTTCTCATTCCAAACTAACATTAGCAATTGTGCTGGAAGGTAGATATCTAAGAAGAGTGGACTCTCAGCCATAGGATCACTGAAAAGGTGTGTATAAAACTAATGAACAATAAAACTAGAGATTGCAAAGAGGTCATATGTTACATGTTACAGTGCTAAGTAGCTTGAATTAAATGCTAAGGAATAGAAGGAAACTCCAACATGCTGCCGAGTTTGGAGTCAGGCTGCTGCTTTTCCATACTTTCTATAGTACAGAAAATGGCCACCAGCAGTTGAACTGGTAATGCCTCCCTGAGCCAAACTGAGAAGTGCTGTTCAGGAATAAAAGTTTTCATAGGGAAATGACAAGTTGTAAGCAATCAAAAGCACAGCTTTGTGTGTGCTAGGTCTAGTGGTACAATGCAAATGTCATTATCCCTCTCCGATAGCCTTTCACTATGAAGAACACTCCCACTTGAGCTCCCCCATGGAACGTGCATCCAGCCTGGCATGGTAGCGTGGATGAGCACAAGCAGATGGGGAAGCAGCAGGCGTTCTGAGTTGCACGGGGTGAGGAGCTTCACTGCCAACTTTTACGGCTGATGATGTAACTTTTCAGAGTTCAACCAGAACCGATAGACTTCTTGTGTCAAAGGTAGGTCAGCGCAGCAAAAGCAGAACCATTTCTGCAAGTTCAAAGTCTTGCCTTGTAGACAAAGATGCAGATTTCCTGTGTTTCAGTCTGGTAAACAAAAGATTTCCCCAGAAATATTTTTATTATTATTATTCCGCAGATTTTTTTATTAGTATTTCAGGGAGAGAAGAACAAATTTTTGATTAAAACTCTTAGTGTATTGTAAGGATTAAAGAAAAATTGTATTGAATGATTGCGAATCTGAAGCTGGATTAAAAAATAACTATTGGCTTTATTCAGTGAAATAGGCTTTAAACACTGTCACCAGGGGATCTGAAAACTGCTGATTGAAATCAAGGGATGCAGGAGCAGAGTGGATTTCCCAGCATGACGTTATTCATGTAGGTGTCATGAGAGACATTGTCAGCATGCTAAATTTTCATGACGTGAAAAGACAGTCCTTGTGACAGAAACCATTAAAAAATCCAAAGTGGCAAGAGATGTCTGGGGTTGTTTGAACCTTATGAATCTTCACAGGCGTGGTAGCCCCAGTTCATTCACACCTGGAAAACAACCTCGTAACACAGCTCCATTCAGAACTGCAGAAACCCACAAATGAGTTGTGAAGGTGTCACCGTAGACAAAATTTAATGGCCTTGGAGACAGAGGGTGCTATGCATGAAGGGAGATGTTTCTGTTTAAATTTGCCTTGCAGAGTAGTCATAATGACCTATTGGTCGTAATGACCTATGAGATGGAAAGAGTCTACAGATAGAATAGAACAGATAGAACCAAAGGTGGGCTTGTGGTGTTGACAGCTGGGTTTTATTCCCTAGCAGAAACAAAAGATCTTTTAAAAAGTTTATATCTTTTAATACTGATTTATGAGCCTTGTTACTATCCTGCAGTATTATTAGGCATTGTTATGACTGGGATAATCAAATCTCATGCTTCAAAACATACTGGTAGCTGATGGGAGATGACAATGACTTTTGTTCCCTCTTGTCATATCATTACCTTGTTTTTCCTGCTCCTTTTTAAAGCCTTAAATATGGGCCATCTATTCCCAAGAGGCAATGAGTAGATCCAATCTTGTTGCTACACAAAGGCAAGATGAGAACTTGGGAGTGCATCCATCCCTGGGAAGAAAGAAGCAGAAACTGCCCTCACTCACCCGACAGTTTTGCTGCAGTGTGGCAGTGGAAGGATGGCTCGGCAAGGGAGGACAGAAAATGCGCTGTACTAGGACAGGGTTGAACCTGCTTCTGTCCTCCTCTGAAGCAGCTGTGTAATCAGACAAAATGGAAGGGCAAAGATGCTAATCCACCCCACAGTGTCCAGAAAATATCACATTCTTGTGGGCATGTACCCGTAAGAGGAACACACTTCTATATGAAATGTAATTAAAAATGCTCAGGAACAATATTTTCATGGCTTTAATATCGATTCCTCCTTCTCTGACCTCCTTTCCTAGTCCTAGATTTTATTTCCCAGAGCTTTGCCCAACTGGCTGCTTGCTGTTGGGGGAGCCCCATGCTCAAGCAGGCTGGTCTGGCCTGTGTGAGGAAGAGACTGTATTTTATTGAGACTTGTGGACCAAGTCTCTGAAAATCATTTCTGTCTCCCATTTTCTGCAGCAGGAACAACATGTGGAGAAGAAGCCCCAAATAACTTAGGAACTGCTGCTTCTGTCTATGATTACTTGAGCATACTCAGTTATTCAATACACATGAATTCTTTCTTAAGAGTATCCAGTGTTGGCTTCCCATGATTGTATTGCTTAGATCTCATACTGGTGCAAGAACTTTGTTCATGAATGCTGCTGGCCACAGGGTATAGAAACCAGAGAGTGAACTTTCCCCATGTTACTAGGTGTGAGCACCACATAAAGTGCTGCTGTCAGAGATGGGGAACACCTGAGGAAGACAGAACAGCACCAGAGCAAGTATGTTTCTGTAAACCCAAAAAACAGTTCTTGCAATGGGTCATTGTAGCACACAACAAAGAATTCAACTTTGGGAATCCTCAAGTTTCTTCTGTGTGAGATCATTTGCAGCATGATTCCAGTTTATAAGAAAGATATTTCACCAAAGCTGACACTTATCTAAAGAACCCCCCCTTCCTATGGCATTTCTACTTGAACTGCCCGGAAAAGAATGAGGAAGTGCTAGTTCTTAAGGAACAACAAATCTTGCTATGAAACCCCAAGCTTGAGGCTAAAGGCAGCATGAAGATTAACATAATCATCTTTAGTTGAGGTTTTTTTGCTTAACAAGTGGCTTAACAAGTCTAGCCATTTCAGGGTACTCCCAGTGTTCAAATAGTCTACCAGTCCTACCATAGCTATAATTACAGCTGTCCCACCAATAGTCCATTCACAACCAAATTTAGTCCTACCTGGGCTGCAAGGTCACCTGCAATAGAACTCCAGGAACACTCATTAATGACAACATTATACTGCAGTAATGGAACTTAACAATTTACAGTGACGCTTTACAGTTGAGGCTATTTTGAGTCTAGTGAATGGATAGGAGTTCTTAGTAAGCTGTCGTGAAGTATGGCACATTATCACTTGGTCTTATGATAAAGGGCACTCAGAAAGTCCATCCATCCCTAAGCAACTCAAGTAAGGATAGCATACCACCAGAATATCTTCAGTCTGGGAGAGCAGAGGGAGAAGTCATCATGGGCCCCATTTGGCCTTTCAAAAAAGTATTGCCTTATAGTTTAAGGAGACTGATACCTCCCTCAAAAGCTGACTATGAACCTGACATTCAAGCTACCGAAACAGGAAACTGTTGACACTCTCAGTGTTATTGAGGGAAAACTCTGTAAAAGGAAGAGGAAAGATGTCAAGAGACCCACTGAGAAAGGAGCAGAGAATAAATCAGCAGCAGTGGAAAAATAAAAACAACAGGCATCTGCAGTCTACACTGATGCCAAACCAGTGCACACGGGATTGGAGAGAAGTCACCAGGCTTTAACAGTAATAGAAGTCAGCCTCGATTTCATCTATCAAAATCAAAAGTATTCGGTGTCTGTGATGAGTTAGGTCTGGATCTTGAACTGGATTCATGCTCTCTTTGTATCACACCTGACAGAGTGTGAATGCCGAGAACATGATTATGATTACAACGTTCCCAGCAGGCACTGAAACGTGCAGTAGAGCGGCTCCCAGACATCAAAGCAGTGGGTGGTGGCACATTCTGCTGTAACTGAAAGTGCTGAAGAGGGAGTCCCCAGTCATGATTCCAGATTGTGACTGGCCCCAAGGAGATGCTGAGAACTGCATACTAGCCCAAATGCAGGTAAGCTGAAGCTTGCGGAGGACAGTGACCAGAATATCTGTGAACTTTTGAGTGCTTCCACTTATACCTCAGAAACCTTAGAGCTGCTAAGGAAATGACCAGAACAAAAGTGGTGAAGGATTTCTAGGTGCTCATAGAGAAGATGAACTACTAGATTGTTCTTGTCTGTCTTTCCACCTTTGCAAACACGAGAATTGTCTAAACAGTTAACTCACAGAGACAGAATTTGGCAGCAGTCAGAGCCCCATGTGATGGGGTAAAGGCAATCCAATGCAGGGAACCAGTCCCAAATTGCTATAAGCCCCTGGAACAGATAGAGCCACAGAAAGCTTGGAGTCATGCTGCTGCAAAGTCAGCACCTTGAACACTTACTGGTGGAGCCCTGACAAAACCAGGATGGAGTCAGATAAACAAAGAGCTGCTGCTCCTGCCTAGGGGGGGAGGACAATCCCATTGTGTCACTTTCGGGTATGGCATAAAGATGCAGTTTGAGGTCCAGCAAAAAGCAAGTGTGATGAGGAAATGCTGAGTGCTCCTGAAAAGCTGCCTGGGTGCAATGATAAAGTCATTGAAGCAGTTCATACAACAGAGTATGTGGCTATACTGGAAGGAAAAAGGACTACAGACATTGCCTGTCTTGTTACTAGGCAAAAGATTGAGTGTTGTTTGTGTGTGTGTGCACACATGTGCAAGATGGGATTTTATTTAAAGCAGGACAAGCAGTAATCCCTGCGGATATAAGAGCTGACATCAGGAAATGAGTAACTTCATACCTAGGGATAGAGGGTGCTTTATCTGAGCCAGACAATTTCCATTGGCCCTTCATCAATGTGCATTGCAGAGCATATAAGACCCAGTGTGACATGTTTTCAGGGTACATTGATCAGTTTTGATCTTTCTGCCACTCCGAGATGCCTTTGCAAATGGTCATTTTTAAGGACAGGAGACGGACAGTCTGCTTTCTGAGAGGTGATTCTGGAGGAAGCTCTGGTAAGAACTGATCAGGAGTCAAGCAGCACCCTTCCAAAGTATGACATGCCTAACACGCTCTGCTCTGACACGACTCATAGCACGCTGCAGCAGGATTTATGTGATTCAGCACTTAACAGGGCAGATTTGAGCACCAGATGTCTTGCCGTGGGTATCAGAAATGAAAAGTGTGAGAGAAAACAAAGTTGGCAGCATAAACAGTGGAGGGACTGATAGCAAAAACAAGACAGTCAAGAAGAGATCCTTACCTGCCAAAGCTGGGCCACAGCAATGCTTTTTCCCTAAAATTAGATGGGAAGCAAGGAATACGTTGAGTAAAGAAGAAGGTGTAGAGGGGGGTGTGTTGCAGTCCAGCAGCCAGGCTTTAGAAACATGTCACACACAGGAAAAAAGGAAGAAAAGGGGCATCATTTGTTGCTGCTGTTCAGAGTGAAGCAGGTATGAAGATAGACAGCAAGTAGGAGCATGGGTAATGGCCAAAGGAAAGCAGCTGCATTCTGACAGGGATCATAGGTAACAACTACAGTGACAGGACAATGTAAAGGAAAACTGAAGATAGCTGCAGACCTGGGAGAAACAACTTGACACAACCTGAGCAAAGACCAAGCAGGTGCAGGACCTCACAGAAGCACCATGCTTCATGTGCAGCGTAGGAGAACAAATATCAAATGGGGAATGACTTGAAAGGTTTAGGGAAAATCAAAAGCCCTGCAGTCAGGGGCTCCATCTCTCTTGGAGGGACTCAGAATCTGCAGCCTCAGCTCTAAGTCTACAAAAAGCTTGGGAAAAAAAACACACAAGGGAAGAAAATGCTGAGTGGATAGTTCAAGTGCCTCTGTCTATAGCACCGGGTTGGAAATGCTCCCTGCTACTGTTGTTCTCTCACGATGAAACCTAGTGCAAGTTGCTTTGCAGAGCTAGTTTGGCAGCAGGGCTTCCTCTTGCATTATCATCATGCAAGAGAGGCAAAAATGCCTATCAGAGTGTGTTTCAAATATGTACTTTCCTTACCGCCTCAGTCAGAGTTACAGTTGTAGAACTTCTTTAAGGAATAGGATAGGTTTTTTTTTGAAGTGCTTTCTGACATACTTGGCCAGAATAGTTGTTGTATACTGGAGAGACAGCTGAAGTGAAGCAGAAGCAATTATTTATATAAAAAGAAGGAACTTGAATAAACAAAAATACTGGCAGCTGCTGTGTATTAAAGTGAATGACCCAGATGCTTTGAAGCCTTGTCCTCAGGTGATTGTAATCACTTCAAAATTATTCTAAGTCTTACCCAAAATGAAGGCAGCTAGATACACCTCAGAGACTATCAGTCCATCAGCATCCAAAGTCTTCTGTGCCTTGGGCACTGCTATTGCTCTAGCTTCTCAGTCTTGCTTTTTTGTGTCTTGCCTACTTATGTCTGTGCCAGAGTCTAGTTTGGAGTCTAGAGGTTTGTGACTTATTCCTCTTCTGGAGGACTCAAGCCTCCCCTCTACTGTGCTGTGTATAGCAGAAGGGAATGGACCACTTTCTGTTGAGTGTATTGAAATGTGTTGCTAGATCCTAGTACTTGAGTCCTGAGCACCTCTTTTTATGATTTATTTTCCCTTGAAGTCTCAAAATCAAGTCTCATGATATTTAAAATGACACTGAGAGCTTAGTGAGCACATTGCAGTAGGGCCATTACACTTCAGACAAATCTTCTCTCCCTTCATGGCAACTTGCTGATTTATTTACAAATTGCTTGCCTTTTGAATTTCTAAAGCTTTTGCCCCATTATGTCTCACATTCCAAATCCTTTTGCATTATGTAGGAAAAGAGAAAGGACATTAATCTGCATTACCTCCTGTCTGTGCTCCATTGCCTCAAAGCAATAGTCCCTGAGTTAGTATTCAACACTGTATGGTATTTTCTATCTTTAATAGTGTCTAAGGACTGATTCCAGGATAATGATCCCATTGTACTATGCAGCAGAGAAACACATTGCTAATGCAAGACATGCCAAGAAAAGCCTTTCAACAAGGTACAGATAGCAGCAAGTGTGGCAAGATGTGTGTTGTGAGGCAAACATAACAGCACAGTGCAAAATGTCTTGCCAGCAGCTACTTTAAAATGTTTTGCTAATAACAGTGTATTATAAAAGGCAAAGACACGCACTAGGAACCCCCAAATCTGAGTCAGAATATTGAACCTCTGTTCTTACTCAATCTTACTGAATATCTTCTTTTTCTTACACTCCAAGAGATGCTTTGGAACATGTTATTTGCTGGACAAAGCCAGTTTCCTCACATGGGACTGCAGCATGGGGCTGGGTAAACACCCAGTGTGATGTATGGCAGGAGACAGTAAACATACTTATAGGAGGATCTTAGGTGTCTCTCTGAAACCTGAAGGTGACCCAGTAACTGAACAAGTAGGCATGCTTTTTGGAGAGGCATAATCCTTGTTCCACACTCAACCCACTCACTACCTTTATTTGGATTCAGAGCCTGTCATTCAGTCATAATCTTTGATTTTCCTTATTCTCATTGACACAGCTTAAAAACATAAACCTTATGCTTGCCTCTCCCTCATAAGCCAACAAGGTGTTGGCTATGGAGCCTTCCATGAACTGAGTGAAGTGCAAGGCATGCAACCTAGCTGCAAGAACAGGTAATACCCACAACCCAGGCCTCCTGTGTCTTGTCATGTTTTATGCATGGCAAATCCATCTCTTTTTCCACTGTGAATGAATATGGATTTATTTTTTTTACCCATTTGTTTCTAACTTTACAGAATTCACACACTAACACTTACATATCTATGGACAGATTTCACATTTCTTTATGAAAATGTACCTAGTTCTGTAAGGCCATTTTCCTACAACAGCAAAGCAGTAGAAAAGTAATTCTAATGTTTTTTCTTAAACTGGTCACTCCAATTTATGAAATTCATCACAAATTGTGAGTAGTTTCAGATTATCTGCAGCTGTACGCTTTTAGAGTTAACTTTATTTAAAATAAGGTCATCCTTCTAACACACACAGGCACTTGTGACTACACATATCTCATTGGGTTGCTACCAGCTGGAAAATCAGTGTGTGGAGCAGAACTTTGACCTTTCTGCTGTAAAACTGGAGGAAACAATCAACTGAAGGAGATAAAAGAAAAAATGGTCATTAAAAAGGAAGTGGTACATGGCAAGAGGGAATAGAAATCAAATTTGCTTGCGCAAAGATACACTTTGCCAAGTAGCCCATGAAGGACAAAAGACTCTACTTGTTTAGCCACCAGGATAAAGAATCTGTGAATTATAACTTGGAGCACTAAATTAATCAGAATACTGTTATATGTTACTACAGCAGAGGTTGCAGGGCCCATTTGGGTGTGGAATTCTGCTTTATCAAATTGCTGTATGAGCAGACCAGGCTGCTCTTTTACCCTGGCCAGGGGAACAACAGGACATCCAGTGACATTAACACCAAGTAAATACAAAACAAAGGAGCTATTTCTTCGCATAATATGAAAGTCACCACTGTATTGAGGACAAGCACAAGTCATATGTTCCTCTTAAATCGTACTTAATCCCTGCTTTGCGAATTGGAAGGACATTCAAGTGATTCATAAGCCTGTGCTTGTTCTCTGCACAAGAATGATTTTTACCCACCACAAAGTCAGCTGAGCCATGGAAAATTCTGCTGTGGGTCGCATCAGTGAAATAATGCTGCTGTGTTCGAGAAGCTCTGTTTGACCATTGCAGCTGTAGCTTTAACATCTGACATACTGATAATCAAAATCATGGGTTATGGTGTTCACTAGTTCCCCAGGGGGTTCTGGAAGTAATGTATGTCTCTTACCGGCATCATTGCATATCTGGCTGGGAAAATAAGTCAAGGAGGAGTTTTCAGCAAAACATCAGGCACCAGCCAGGAGTAAAGGCAGGAAGTCTCTTCTGATAGTTCATTGATCTGATCCAGCATGGCAAACTTCCTGTTTTCAGAGAAAAAAAAAAAAAAAAGGAAAAATGTGTGCGTTTGCAGAGAATATGTCCAGCCAGAAAATGGGCAGAAATCAGTACGATATAAATCAGTAAAATGTTGCGGCTTTTGAAGGTAGCAATCAAACTGCAAAAGATGGCTTCAGATACCATTTGCATACTGTATGTGAATGTATTTTTCTTGTGTTTCTGGTTTATGCATCCTTATGGTAATCTGTTATTGCATATTATTTGCAGACCCTTTGGTAGTGACTCTTGCATCTATTAGAGCTCGGTTCTGCAGCATGCAGTGGAAAGGAGATTATTCTGATCTATAATTCTGTCCATTGACACTCCTTAAGATACTGTATAAGCTTATAGAGGTGAATTTATGCTTCTGGCTTTTACTGCTCTTTGTGTCTGAGACACTTTGATGCATAAGAATCTTTCAATAAAAGGAAATAAACATGCAGCCCTGACACTTACTAGGGCCATGAGCTCTCAGAGTTTCTTTGTTGGGGGGGCTGATACTTTCATTTCTTCTTTCCTGAAAGGAAAAAAATACCTGAAGAATGTACATTTAACTTGAAAATCACATCTTGATTTTGGTAACAGCTTAACAGGCAGGGTAAAAGAAATTCAAACGCGTTGAGAGATGCAAAGAAAAATGAAAAAGTAATGAAAAAGTGTCAAAAGTGACAAAATCCATCCAGAGCATTCTTTTTTCATCTATGGAATAAATAAATTGGATGGAGGAGGATGAGCCCACAGTGTCACTACTCTTCTCTGTTAGGGACACAGTGTAGTCCTTGAGAACATGAACGAATGGCAATGTGTCTGACAGCATAAAGTGCTAGATGCCAAAACACAGATAAAGTTCTAGATGCCTGATGCTAGTGCTACACCCTGGCTCCCACTTCTGACTCTCAGCAGCAGTACTAGCTGGGTCCAGTCACTCTCCATTCCCTTCCCATCTTTCATCTTGCCTTTTCTGTGTAGACTGCAGTCTTTCTGGAGGAAGAGTTCGCTACATGTCAGTGCCATACCTAATTTAGGTGACCCTGAGCCTGTGCCAGGAGAATACAAAAATCTTCAGCTTGACACTCAGCAGCACAGCTGGAAGGCTGGAGAGGGACTAATAGCGCCGTTTGTTCCTGGCAGAGCATGACCTTTGTCCAACTTTGATCACTTAAGAAAAGAAACCTTTCCTAGATCCTTCTGTACTATTTTCCCTACTGTGGTGGTTTTTTTTGGTACTGGGTAGTTCCCCAGCTGTGACAGAAACTCCCACCGCTCTGTCCCTGCTGAGAGGAAACAATGCTTCCCTGCCAGAAGAGGTGTTCTTAATGCTATTATAAAGTAGAGGTATCTCCTGCGCAATGGGGCATACATTTACTGTGGTTATTTAGCAACTAAAAGCTTCCTAGTCTCAATTGCAGCCCTCCTTTCCTTCAGTACTTACCATAAGTCCTCTCCTGTAATCTCATCCTCCAACTTGCAGCCATCCATAGCCATGTTGGAACACCTTTCTCTTTGTACCAGATGGCAATGCAGTACTGCCTGCTGTCAAGATGAGCCGGTTCATTTTTCCATCATCTGCATCTTACTATGAAGAAAAAGAGATTAAAAAAAGCCACTTGGCAGATGATCTGTGGCAGGTATCTCCTATTATGGGGCTCTTGGCAATCTGAGCACACCGATTCAAATAACTAAGAAATAAGTAAATGATTAAGTGTAGAGACAGCATGCAGCAGGCAATTACTGATGTGGTTGATGACCTAAAGAGAAACTACAGAGTAGCTAAAAACCCAGCCCCTGATTCCTACACAAGTTTTATTTTCCCATTTTCTTGACAGGAGAGGGGGAGAGCATGTGCCCTGAACACTTTTTTGGAATTGAACACTTTCTTTAAGATCTCTAACTAGATTTGTGACATTGTACCTTTCATATCTGTCCTCTTCCCCCACTCTCACTGAATCATGTCCCAGCATTAGCCTGGCTTTTGCTGGATGACTACACCTGATGTCCTATTTCCTCTTTTGGAGTTAAGCCATATTTCCCCTGACCCATTGAATGTCTTCAAAATAACAGACCAAAGCCTTCTTTGCCCTTTAAAACTCTGAATCTTAGAAATGTATACCCTAGGCTCCCTCAATAATAAATAGAGAGATGGGCAATTCTCAGTGTAAAGAGTAATTTCTGAACTGTGTTTATGTTTTGGATTATTGGGAAACACTAAAAAAAAACAACCTTGAATTTAAGTCTGCACTGGAATAAACTGCACTAGTGAACTGCTCGAACTACTCTTACCCTTCTATGTCAGATGTTAAATTTTAGTACTCCCCAGGATACATTGCCTCTTGGCAATTTTAGCTGGGAAATCTCATGCATTTACCTTCCCCATGTTCATTCTGCACCTTCAAACATTCAATTATTCTGATAATACCATGTGGTTGAAACAAAGGGAGATCATGTGCAGCACAGACAGCATAGCCTGTCCAGAAAACATTGCACATACACAGAAGGCAGCAGTGAAAGTATGTCTGGAGGCAATAGATTAAGAGCAGTGCGTTGCTTAGCCCTGTTAACGAAGAGAACCAGGGACTGAGTGTCTCACTGATTCTCTCCCATCTCAGAAAGCAAGAGATGCCAGAGGCCCATGTCCAAGAACTATCAGCAGAGAGTTGCTGTACAGGGCAAGAAGGCAAGATGAGAAGATGTGCATCATCTCATCTCAACAGAAATTCAGGTGAGCCTTTGTGGCTGATGCAAGAGAAGTAAGTTTGAGTGCAGATGGTGAAACTGAACTGAAGCCCAAGCTCTGAGTTATAAAGAAGTGAGGATGCGGACACATGCTAATAGAGCACTACTAGAGGCTCCACTTCTTGCTCTGCTTCGCCTTTGACCCACATCACTTCAAACAGAGAAGAAAAAGCTCCAGTGTTGCTCATTTTGGGATAATAAAGTCTTTGGAGAGTTGCAGTGGGATAACGGCAGGATGTGTTTTCTCTAAGTAATTTTAACCCAGTCCCTGATCTACACGCTATTAATCAAGACTCCTAGCTCTACATCACAGAGCTGGATGAAGACCAGAAAGAGGCTGTGGCAAGAGAAGGAAATCACAATATTCTCCATGAACTAAATAAGTTCTATGGGGAAAACAAAAAAAAACCCAACCCCATATCAAGCCTTTTAAAGCTATATAAGATGTCTATTGGCTTGTCTTCTGAAATTGAAAAGTAGAGAAGGACCTCAGTACTATCAGACACGATTGTCTTCAACGATCAGAACTTTTCATTCAGAGATGCCACTTATTTGGTTTTTGGGGGGTTATTTTTCAAGGTTTCAATTCTGTAGTTACTGAGACAGTCTAATGCCATGCTAACTAGGAACTGCAAATTGACTATGCAAAGAGACTAGCTAGATATCATTGTTCTCAGGGCTTATATAGAATCATAGGTAGATGTTAGTTTTATGCCTGTGTGCTCAAGCAGGAAGCTAGTCAAGCGACATTTTCATGGGATCACAAAATGAAAGTCATACCAGGTCAACCTACTTAAGAGAGGATTACAAAGTGCATGAAATAATGTTTATCCAGTTATAGCCAAAATAACACACTTTAATTACACAAGGCAACTCTCAACACCCCTATGGGATGACACACGAATAGTGAAAATGGCAACTGCAGAAAATTCATACTGTTGTACTGGAAGAGAAAAGTGTTTTCAGGTGGAAAAGCCATTGCAAGTTACTAATGGCAAAGGTAACTTGCCATTCAGCAGTGTTACTTCTTTTCATACTCTTCCTGCTGTTGCATTAAGGTGTCAGGCTAACTTAAGTACTCAGTGTAACTTCCCTCTGGTGCATGAAAGAGAAAAAAATTAACTAAGACCCTAGCCAGCAGAGATACATTCACCCATGTGATTTAATAGACTCCAAAGATGTGGAAATAAATGGGGTACTACATATATCCAGGTATCATAGGTGCACTGTAATACTGAATCTCATGTGTCCTATAGTAGCCCTGCAGGAAATATACCTATATATTTGCAGTGGGCCTGCCACCATCTCAAGCCATAATTTAAACAAAACAACAAACATTGCTTTAGCCTTTTGCTCTTTGGATAATATTACCAGCTCTCCCAGGCTTCACTGTAAGGAGCTTAACTCTGCAGCATTATTGTGACTAATCTCATCAGAGACTACTGTGGCTGCCAGGCTCCCATAAGGCAGCCTAGGGGAGGATCCTAGGGAACAAGTAAAAGGCAGATGGGGAAGCTCTGCTTAAAGAATATGAAACAAACATTTAAGAGCTCAACTGAAATCCCAGATAATAAAAACAAATCTGATCCCCAGGCCTCTTTGGACCCCAAAATTTCAAAATCCCATTTCATAGACTAAGGGAAAGTAATTGTGTGTCAGAAGAATTGTGTGTCAGTGTGGACATGAATGTATACGGAATATGTACTACTGGGCTTCCCATTAGTTTAAGATTCATTTTACACTTAAGAAGTGCTACTATAGTAATGGGGAATCCACCAAATAATGTGACTCCTTCATCTTGAAAATGGCTGCAGCCTGGACCTCAAGGTAGCAGAAAGCTTTTTTTATGAAGAGATTCATTAAAACAAGCTTTTCTTTTATTTTTTCTTCTCTGGGAAAAAGGAAAAAAACAAACAATCCTTCCCTGTCTGGAAGCAATGGGATCATAAGAGGGGAACTTCACCTCAGGTTGTGATGGAGACCCAAAAACCTGCTACATTCCAGATTTTCTTAGGGCTTTCATAAAAGAGCCAGAAAGACACTTCTACCATAGCAAGGGACAAAGAGATAGATCCAGCCCACTGGAATAGATAAGTAGATACCCCAGCAGGGTTATGAACCTTAAAGAGCAAAAGGTGCATTGGTGGGAATCTGCTATAAATTTTCTCAGTCTACAATCTTCCAGAGTCATCTAAAATGTGCTGTCTCCAGTGAATTTAATCCCTGTGGTAGGAATTCACCGCTAAGTCATCATTGTTTAGGTAGAAAAGTTTTTAAAAAAGACAATCTTACAGAAAATGTGTTTTTCTGGAGGTATGTAGGCACTGAAAAATTAAGATCACTAAGACCGGAAAAAGTCGTGACGAAATCTACTCATGATCCCAATATAGAGATAGGTCTAATCTTTTTTGGAACTGTTGCAAGACACATTAGAAGAATGGGGTAGCTGTCTGGGAACACATAACAGTGCAGGACAGAGTAAACATCCATCCATATCTATCCATCCATCCATCCATTTATTGATCTCATATACTTCCTGACAAGAAGATATGCTTCTCTCTTTCTTTCTTTCTCCTCTCACACATCAATCCAGGCAGTTACTGGACGTCATAGTAAGCTCTTAAATCCCAATAAATACTACCAAGCTGGCTACTCAGGGGCTTCCATGCCAACAACTTTTTAACAGAGTAATGATGATTAGACTATATTGCATCTGACTGCTTTTAAAGGTCTACCCTTTGATTAGACTTAGAGGGAGCGAGGGAAGAAATACTGGCAAAAATGAGAAGATATTTCAGCTTGGAAAGGGATTTAGAGGCTGTGCTTCCAAATTCTCACAAAAGGCGCCATTAGTTTTGCTGCTTTAAGATCTTTCCATTCTGTAGCAGGAGCAGCAGAGTAGGACCAGGATAAAAGCGAAGAGAAACACACAGAATCAGTGAATGTTTGGCTATCCAAATGGCTGAAAGGTGAGGAAAGGATCCTGGCACATCATGAATCAAGGAAAAAAATCTAGGAAGAGTTGGTACAACAGCAAGTGACAGCAGCATGCTTTGAGTGGAGGAGGGCTAAAGGGGATCAGTAACATTGCAAGGGCTAAAAAATCTTTAGATAGCTGTGAGTGAATAGAGTGGAGGTAAAAGGAAGCTTCATCAGATCCTTCTCCTCAATCTAATAAGAGTCTTAAAGAATCTGGATATCGATATGTGCGTCAGTACCAAGTGATCCACTACCTTTTGGTTGCTGTTAGTGCGATGAAGCTCTGTATACAGCAAATGGTGTCTAAGGCCCAGCAGTCTGTGGCAAGAGTAGTGAAAGTATGACAAAGCCATGGTAGCCTGTGTGTTCTCCATATCACAGGACTGGAGTGATTCACCAATAACTTTCCTCTTCATTTTCCATTCAAGTTTGTCCAGATATCCACAAAGGGATGCCACACTTCTGTCCATAATCAAGGTTCATTGAATGCCCAGGTGGTTTTGTACCAAGATGCAGCTTCTGGTTTTGAGCAGAATTGCTTCCAAAGGGCAAAGATGAAAAATACCAGCTGTGTAACATGCTAATATCCCCAATTCAAGTACTGCAGGAGCTGTTGCAAAGAGTGAATATCTTTGTTCACAGATACCCACAGACCGACACATATATTCGTCAGACACTCACCTAAGAATTTCAGCAGATGGTTTTGTAAATGTTGAAGTCAATCCCAAGAAAAAGAGGCTAAATTCACTAAATAAGGTCAAGATTTTTCCCAGTTTATCTCCAGCAGTTAGCACTACCGTAGGTCTTAATAGAAAGTTAGGCTCTGGTTGTGCATGACACTGGGGAGGGCACAAAGAGACTTCATGTTGAGAGCTGTGTTGACTGTAGTAGGGTGTGCAGGACTTAGCCTGTAAAAGCAATGTATAAGGCAGGTCTTTATGAACTAATAGGGTAGGTGTACAAAATGGTACATTTAAAAATGGTATGGCAGTCAAAAATAAAGATCAGTTTTATTCAGTTCCTATCTATTAGATGGCAATATCAGGTAACTGCAAATGCGTATGACTGGGACAAAAGAGGACAAAAATATGTCAGCTGAAGATGAAATCAGTACAAATGGTCAGCCTGACTTTCTTCAGCAAATTGCATTTCACAGGTTTGAGCACTGAAGAAGAAGAAGAAAGGGAAATTTTGATATTGAGGTTATTTTATATTCCTTATAACATTCATGGCTGATCTACAGAAAAAAATGGTTATGTTTCTACTGCTTTGGAGTGCAATATACCTTTCAGCCCATGTTTATTTGTTTATGTGCCTTCTCCCACTTACACTGAGTGTATTTAGAAATAGCTGCCTTTATAAATTTCAGCATCTCCCACTGTGAAAAACAAAGCCACTTCTATAGCAGAACATGGCAGCCGTTTAACAGCACACAACACTCTTGTCCATCACTTTAGGCTACAAAGGATTGCAGATTACCATATCTAATTGCCATTGCAAGATGAAAGCTTAGATACTTAGGCTATAATTAACCACATTGAATTTGAGAGGTAAGCTAAGGTTAATGGTCCTACAACACTTGAGAAAAGTGTAACTGATATCCTAGAGAGCATAAGTGATTAGGATATCAGTTTGTGTCACTAGAAAGATAATGCTGTCAACACCACAGTGTCCACTAACAGTGTGCACAGTGCACCACTTCAGTACCAACCTAATGAAATGGATGTGCTTAATACCACATTTTCCAGCACCTTACAAGCGTGGACATAGACTGACTCCATTATCTTTTGTGTTTTTACAATGAGATTAGCCAACTGCTCAAATAAGGATTCATAAATCTCATAATAACTTTCAAGGACAGGTAATGCTGCTGTCCCCATTTCATTGGATATGGCATTAAGCAAAGAAGCTGTGTGAGCTGAGCCTGAAACACAGCTACTTCAGCAGATATTGCCTAAACCACAAGTGATTAGCATGACACTGTATCCAAGATGGTAAAGCCTGAACCACAGAGGATATGGCAAACTGAGATCCCTTTGTTAATGTAGACTTGCACTTGTAGACTTGTCCTAGCACCACAAAGAAGATAACTTGTCAGAGGAAGGAAGTTAAAAGACAGATCAGATGAACCCCAGGATGGGATTCCAGCATGAAAGAATCCACCCCTGGAAATACGAGAGAAAGAACAATCAAAAAAATTTTTGTATGATCAGATTCTAGGAGTTACCTCCTAGAACACTTCAGCATTTAAGGAAGAACTGTTCAACGGAAATCCTTCTCTTCCAAAAAAAAAAAAAAATAAAAATAAAATACCCAAACCAAACAAAACAACGTTTAAGGAACTGTGAAAGTCTCTCCCATTTCTTCACTGGTTCATTTCAACTCACTACCTCAGCTACCCCATCACAGAAATTGATTATTCCAAAGTGACCAATGATCTTTGGAATTGAATGTTTATTCTTAATAAAGACATGTGGCTAAATTTCCTTCTCAACTATTAGTCATATTTCTTCTTGAGCTTTTCACTGTAGAACAGAAATAGATCTTATCTGACTCCAAATGGATTGTTAGCCATGGGCAGATTAGATAGAGAACAGATGCTGGTTTGGGAAAGATGTAGTTCTACTTGTGTTTTTACTCAGAACTGGTGGTTTTGCCCAAATTAAGAAACAGTGTTGACTACAGGCAATCAGTGTAAACCTAGCCAGGGCTGAATATGTATCTAAACTGCTGCTGGTGTAATTTTGACAAGGCTACTGGTTCTGCCCCCAGAATAACCTAAAAATATTTTTTCCTGTCAGTGTCTGCGTGGTAATGTCCCAAATCCCAGCAGTAATGAGTGGACAAATTAACTTCTAGAGGAAGATAAAAACTTGTGATCTTTTCTCATGACATGAATCATCATCGTGCATTAGCCAGACCCTAACACTGGGGTCTGCTTCTTGCTCAACCCTGGAAGAAACCCTGTTTGACTCCATTTCCACACTACCAAGGAAACAGTTCCTGTGGGAAAAGCACCAACATACAAATAAGTAGGCACGCATACAGAAAGGTATAATTTTCCACACACAGAAGCATCTTCTTCCTGTTTAGGGCTTTGCTCATTCATGCACACAAGATCACTATCTGCTAACTTAAAGGAGCCATTTATCAAATGCACAAAAGATATGTTCCTGCTAAGAACAGTCCTCCCTCGACATATTTCATCTTACTGCCCTTAGATTTTAAGAAGCTAGAAGTATGTGTCTCGTACCAGATGAATCCTGGATTCTTCCAGCAGGAGTCCAAACATCATGCAGGTTGTACTACATGTTTTGCCTTGTTTACCTGATATCACACACAAACCTGAATACCTGTCTATAAGAAAGGTGGATGTGAGAAAGCGTTATTCTTCTGGTTTTTAATAATAGAAATTTAGCTTTGTGGACAAATGGAGACAGCTGGATCACAGCTAGCATCTATAGATATTGTTAGAGATTCTTCTGAAGTCATCAGTGTTATGCAGAGTAGTACGTAAAGTGGAGAATGCATACAAAAACTCTCATTCAGACCTCTGGCAGAGTGAGCTGCAGTTGGTTAAGATTTTAGCCCGCACATATCTGTCTTTTTCTTTTCTCTGCTGGGCTAAAGCAGTAGTCATTAAAATGGAAAAAAAAAAGAAAAGATTTTCAAGGACATGGTATTGCTTGGGTTATCCAGTCAGTAGCAGGAACTTGTTAACAGCAGAGGAAACAATGTACACTGAACATTAGTAGCGCCCACAAATTCCAGAATATCAGGTATTCCTGAATATTTGTAGCGCCCACAAATTCCAGAATATCAGGTATTCCTGAATATTTGTGGGTGTGCTGGGCTAGAACATCTTCTGTTTAATATGTTTTCCATTGTTTTTCCAACACCACTCGAAATTTCACTGAGGCAGCTTTTGATTTTTGTACAGTTCATTGCTACAAATATCTTTAATAACAGGCAGTTAGGCAGCATAAGACTACATATGGACACAACTAATCATTGAAATGAACAGAACTCCCTTGTTTTCCATCAGTGGTGCAGCCATACCAAATGGCTTGGCCCAACGTGTCTGAACAGATCAGCACAAGGTATGTATTGTCAATGTTGACAATATTACTGTTCATCTTTCCTTCATCAGTCAGCCATCCATTAGAAAGTGTACAGTTGAACTTGCCATCCCCTCTGGACCAACTGCAATTCTGAACTTGCAGACCTATAACTAGGGCTTGTTTTTAATGAAAACAACAATAATGTATAAAGCAAACGCCACTATGCAGAGGGAAGCTTCATCCAGCCTGAAACATTTTGTCTAACCTGGTGTGATATGAGACACCTTATGGCACTTTAATTGCTGACTGGAGCCAGCTTCAGTTTATAAAGGCTTATCGAGATCACACCTCAGGGTAGGGTGGTTTCAGGACAGATAACAGGTCACTTAAAGATTTAAGACAGGCAAAAATAGCTTTATGAAATGAAAGTGGAAGTCTGTCATACAACAAAGCCAGTAGCAGTTCAAGCTTAGCTTCTTTTTTGATGTATATCTAGTCAAATGCACTGAATCTGCTAGGGGCCAAAAACTGAAAACTGGACTATGCCTTTCTGCACCCCCATTTGCCCAAACTCCCACCACCTCACATATAAACAAAACCCGTCTAAAATCTCAGCAGTGGAGCCTCACTAGCATATGGTTGCCTTGCTCAGTAGCTGGCCTTTAATTTAAAACAAACAAAACTTCTAGCAAGCTGCTACAATGCATACCATGCATTGTTATCACTGCAAGTTGATATAACAAGCCTGGAAGTCGAAGGCTTTTTTGGATGGTCACCGTTTCTGGTATTTAATGATGCCAAAATTCTCTTAGCCCTTGATCAGACAAGATCAAGCTTATGAAGTGTTGGAAGCTCCTCCAGCATTCATTCAGTGGCAATTTACTGTAACTCCAGTAATGAGTTCCTCCCATGAGGCGCTTGCATATCTGAAGTACTATTTCCTGAGGCTGTCATGTCATTAATTTCCAGTGTTTATAGGCTAGTGGAGCTCTTGAATTTGCTGGGTGTAAAGGCTTTGAGATTATAACACATCTACTGCAGTTCATAACATGTACATCAGGTCTTCAACATAACTTGCAATTCCTCTCCAGAGGGCATTTGCATGGAGCTCAAGGAACAGAGGGAGAACAGGAAGGGGAAAAGGAAGAAAGCAAAGGAGAGGGGGAGAGGACACTGTTGCAGCGAACCTTTAGCGTAGAAAACAAGGGCATTTATTAGAATTTTCAGCATCATCCATTTTCCTTTTGCAGAGATGTAATTTTTATGATCAACATGAACATTTGATACAGGATATGTTAGGTGGTGAGGCACTGGAACAGGTTGCTCAAAGAAGTGGCAAATGCTCCATGCCTGGCAGTGTTCAAGGCCAGGATGGACAGAGCCTTGGACAACATGGTCTAGTCTGAGGTGTCCCTGCCCATGACAGGCGGGTTGGAACTGGATGATCTTAAGGTCCTATCCAACCCAAATCATTCTGTGATTCTATGATTATGAAAAGGTATAAAGCTCTTAACACTGGCCTTTTAGTAAGATTTTGAACCTTCTGTAAAGGACTTAGAACAAACTTGTGCCGAATCCAATTCATGCTAAAGCAAATGGGGTCCTGCTGACCTGAATTGGAATGGACTTTACCTTATAATATTGTGGTTGCAAATCACACCATCCAGGTAATAACATCCGAGGAGACTGAAGAAGTCCTGAGGAAACAAGAAAAGAATAAGAGGCCTGAGTTTGCTGTTCCCCAGAACAGAAAATTATATTTGCATTTAAAAGATTATTTTAAAATAACTGTTTTAAAACAAAAACAATACACACCCATACTGATGTCCAAAACATCTCTCTTCAGCTGGATAATGAATAATTACTTGTATTCCAGGTGAGCAGAAATTCCAACAACCCGAAGATTGTCTTCTCTGAAGTACAGCAGATCTGAAAATTTCTCAGGTCTGTGCATTCAGAAATGTTAATTATCAGCTTCAATACCAGTCGAAGTTTTTCAATCAACTGAGTAAAGAAAGAATATAAATATCATCTTTTCTGTGTGTAACTACAAAGCGATTTTAAGACATCAGCAATCTGCCTGTGAAACTACTGATTCTGACCAGAGGAGAGAAGATATTAAAGACAAGGTGGAAGATTAAACACATATCTACAATTTTCAGCCTCAAAAAAGTATCAGCATTTAAGTGTGCGTGTTTGATGGATAGATGGTAATAACAATCACACCATAGAATTTGGATCACAGCAGGAATTTATCATTGGAATACCCCTCAAGAAGTCTAAGAAGTCCCCAGGGAACATGTGACAGTGTAAAGGTTATTTGATAGGGTTTTTTTATTGTTTTTTTCCTGTATTCTTCTTTTTATGAACTACGTGTTTAAGTTTTGAAGGTGATAAATTTTTATTTAGAATTCTCTTTGAAACTTTTTTTTTTTTTTTTTGCCACATAACCAAGAGATTTATATCTATATCTCATCTCACGCAGTTTTGACTTCTAGAATATTTGTGCATTTCCAGATCACTCATCTGTTGATTTCTAATATTGCTATGAGGTGGCAAATTTGTAATATATTGTTTTGTGGTACCAACTAGGCAGTCTGAATGATCTAGTAGTCCCTGCCTGAGCAGTCTAGAATCCAAACACATAGAGAGAATGTTTTATGGGAAAATAAGATGTGTATCAACCATGGACATCATATGATACATATCTGAATATTAGACACATCAGTCTGTATCAACATACAACATCTGTATGTGGGAATTAACCTCCATTTTCTTACACGTGATCACATAAGAAAACAAAAAAACAGCAAAAAACAGGACCCTGCAGCTGTTTTAAAATAACTTTCAAAGTTAAATAAATGAATAAACAAGTTGTCAGAGTGCTGTCTTAACTGGAAAGACACAGAAGGTTTGTTGAACACAATTTAAAAACAAAATATGACATTCCTGAAATCTGCAGCTATCTTTTTTGCCTCTGAACTTCTCTAAGTTTCAGGAGCGTCTGTTTTCCATGGAGGTTGGACAACCCACAACTTTTATTTGTACCCTTCCATATCTGACACAGGCACAGTGCCAGACAAATGAAAATAATTAGCCTCCTTTCTAGTCATGCTCACTTGGAGGCTGAGCTCAACCACCCACCTACTCACAAGTCCTTCTCAGCATATGATTTTTCACCTTTTTTCTCATCCTCCTTGCATCCTTTCATTTCCAACATTTCATTAAACTCTGTCTATATGTCTGCTGCCTTTCCTTTGCCCAAGAAAGCTCAGCACTGCAAGCCCTGATAAATGGATTTAACCTTCAACATGACTATTAAGTCTCATTTGATTCAGGCACACAGCTAAACTTTGGGAGATAAGGGGCTAATTAATTTAATTGTCAAGCAAAAAGAGTGAACTTCTACTCAGGTTTGCCTGAAATCATCTGATTATTTATTTATTAATTTGCCATTCTGTTTTTAAACCAGAAGGTAATGGAAATGGAAACAATAGTCCCCCTTTTTCTCCTTCCTCCCATGAAATGATTTCTTCAGGACAGCTTTTAATCCACTCTTTTACTGCATGTGGGAACAAACAAAAAAACAAACAAACCACTTTCCACTTTCAGATAGAATTTCAAAGACTCTACTTACACTTTAATCAAGAGGTGATGGAATTAAATGACAATTAATATGTGTGACTCTAGCATGAAAACTTTGTATTGAGCAGAATAGCATTAGCAAATTGTTCTGTAAAAAACTATTCTGAAATTGGAGGGATTTAGTTAATCAGATTGTAGACATGTTCAATAGCTACTGACTCAGGATTCTGATAACCAAAATGCTTTAGAACATGCCTGATTTTAAGTAGCAGGCAATTCAGTTTATTTATGCAATATCTGCTCAAGTGGTTAAGGTTAAAAACTTGCATAATAAACATTTGACTGAATCTGGGCCTCAGATCTAAATCTGGGTCTCAGAAGAAATTTTTCCCCTTTTTACCTGAGGCACTTGTATAGGCTTTTTGCAAAATTTGTGTGTTGGAATAAATGTTGCTTATGCTTTTCAATCTGTGAAATGCTCTGGGTTAGCCAACAGTTATCCAAAAGTAAGTAGAAGCAAAAATGTTATTCTTTCTTCAGAATACATTTTTCCCAGCTTTACTTTATGCCCATCCTCATTATACTGAAGATGATCTTTAATGTAAAAATATCCTTTTGCCACAAAATTCAGAGTGGAAATGGTCCAGTACTCATTCACTATTTCTGTTCTGGAGCAGTGAATACTTGATAACATACTTGCTATTATTTTTTGTCAGTCTGGCATCTAAAACCACAGCTTCTGCAGCATCTGTTGGAAAAATAAAACCCATAGCAGAAGGAAAACAACAAAGTCAGTCATTCTAGCACTGTACTGGTCTTCTGTG